TGCCTTTGGCATTTTCTTTAAAGGTTTCAATAGTTTCAATGCTGTAGTTTCAATTTTATTTATTTTTTTGTTTTCATTAGCATTATGCATGTCTGATAGTTACAGTTTTAAAATACTGAAAGAATTAGCTAATGCTGGAATTTATGCTGGCATTATCATGAACACTAACCAATAGATTCCTATTATTGTCATAATAAAATTAGCATCAGAACAAGAATCAACTTTTTCCTTCTGAACTGGAAAAGTTGTCAAAAGCCCAAAGCACTCTTTCTTCCAATAACCTAGCATGGAAAAGCATACTTTCCTTTTGAGTACAACAAAGACGCCACCAACTTTTCTCCACCACTGTTAAACTGTCATCAAGCAAAAAGAGTTACACTTATCTTAAAGACATTCCCATGAAGGTTAAGTCCAACTAATTTGAGAAACTTCTCTTCCATGGAAAATGTGTTTAAGATTCCACTCCTAACTTCCAAGCCTCAGCAGAATTTCTACAGCCTTATTGGCAAAGAAAATTAATAAACACCCCATAAAGGTATTTGCTGATTAAATAAATGTTTGCATAGCATTTCACAAACAAGGAGCAGCCCAGCAAACAGCCACCAGTAACCCCAACCTTATACCTATAAAGGGCTTGAAGTGATGTAGTCAACAAGTTAGCAAAAGGAGTGGAAACAGAAAGAATGTCTGCAAAAGTTCTCAAGGGTTCTCAGAGATGAGGAAATAAGGTTATGCTCCAAGAACTAAACTTAGCAAACCCCAATAAGTAGGCAAGTCATAAAAATCTGAGTAGATTGCATAAGAGGAAAGAGGGGAGAAACATTTCAGTCAACTTTTTTCATAAAATATGTGGGTGGGCATTATATAGCACTAGTCTAAGATTATGTTCACACAAACAAAACAAGCACCTGGTGGCTTGCTTTAATTCATGACACATGCTGGCAGCCATTTGCCTAATTATAGATCCAGGCATGGCTTTTAATTTTGTCCAAACCCAAGTGGTATATTTCGGGGTTATTTCCTCCTGAAACAAAGGGGGAATAATCCTCAAATAACCCATAGACTGGGAACATCAGTAATCAACTGGGCTGCTCTTGCAATTGGTGGGTCAGTGAGAACCCTAATCTGCCATTTTGTACAGATTAGACCTGGCATAAGGGCCAGACAACTTTTGGCAAGACAGCTGATGCACGTACACAGCATCTGTAAGCATATCAAACCACTGCATTATATGGGGAAATAAAAAGATACCATCTAGAGAGATAAGTTGCGCTGAATACTGTTGTAGGACTTACTCAATGGTGACAAGTGAAAGCAAGTGTGATGCATTCACGCAGCAAAAACAGAACAAATTAAAAAGTGGTAAATGCAAATAGGATGCATTTCTTGAGTAGTAATCCTTCACTATGTCATTACTTTTTTCATGTTTTTAAAAAGTTATCCCAACTTCAGCAGTAAAAAACCTTGCCTAAGTTTATTTTTCAAAGTGTTAACCAGTATTAACTTACAACTGAGCTACACTTGCTCCAATGCACTGGATGGATCATTGTGTCACAAGCAATGGAAATTAGTTGTGCAAACTGTTGTACAATTGTACAACTGTTGTACAATTACTGTTGTCCAAAGTAAGATGTACTAGGCTCCTTTCCTCATCATCTTGCATATGCAGAATAAACTCCTGGAATGAGGCCAGACAGAAAAAGTTGGGGATTCTGCTGGGTTTGTTTCCTCCATGGAGAATGACTTAGAGAACCTTAAGCCAAGCATTGCAGAAGACTTGCCACTCTAGGGGCCTTGAGGCAGATTGGTGTCCTGGGCCCTCAGGGGAGATAACTCAACCCATCCATTCAGGACAAAGGCAGCCCCCTCTCAGACTCAAGAAGATCCCAAATGGTCACCTAGCCCCAAGGAGCGGAGGACTCTAAAGGTCAAGGCCTGGCAGCTGCCGAAGAAGTGCCCATCGAAGGAATAAGGATTCCTCATGAGTAAATTTATACTTGTGAGCAAAGTTCATTACTTGCAGCTGTGCTCTGAGTGGGGCTCAAAAGCTCAGATGCAAAAGTCCTCAGTTCTAGGTACAGAGTTCTGGAACAATGTCTGTGCACCAGCCTTTAGATTCTTGCCTCATATTTCCCTGATAACCCTGAAACTCTCTCTGTTGTCTTGATATTGACTCTGCCGAATTCCATGGAGCTCTGTCCCTGCACCAGCACCAAGCAGGACAATCACTGCCACAGAATTGCTGTTGCTGAGATACACTGCCCCAGAATCCCGTAGTAAGTGGAGTGCATGGCATTGCACAGATCCCTTTGCTCGAACATCTGGTTGGTGTTGATGTTTGGGGAAGGTAAGTACAGAAATAATTTCTTCTAAGCAGCAAGAATGGCTCTTGCAGTTTCTTACCTTCTCAATACCTCAGCGCAAGACTCTGCCTTTTCCCTGCTGTCTATTTCTGAGAGTTCCAAAGAGCTCACAGATAATAGCTGGCTAGTCAGCAAAGCCCACATTTGCACAGCCCTGGCCCACATGTTTATTTTGTACCAGCTTGTCATGGTTATTACAGTTACTGCAGCTGTACAGTTGCACAAAAACATTGTCAGGGAGAGATGGAATGCAGAACCAGCTACTTTCAAAACAGATTTTTATGAAAACAAGACTCTAACCCATTCTGGAAGAGAAGGGAAAGAAGCTTCCATCCTTCCAAATAAATCTTCGTATACCTTTGTGACACATAGAAACATAAATGTTTAAAGCTTTCCTCTGTATTGTCTCTTTTTCTTTGGCTTTGAATTTTCCATTTTAGGCCTAATCAAACATCAAGTTAGCCCTGGACACAAGACAAATGTCTATGTTTTCTGAAGACAAAGGGCTGTTTAAAATAGACAGGGAAATGGTTTTGTTATCATTTTTTAAATCCTCATTTCATTTTCTTCTCTTGCTTCACTTCGTACTTCTGCATACCTCTTGCAGGATTTTATCATAATATTTAACTCAGTAATGTGCTTATAAAACCTCAAAAGCATATCATACTACAACAATTGTTGAAAAGATAACAGAAAAATCTCAAGGCTTTTTCTTGTGGGAGAAGGAATACACACGCACACATATACTACAAATCAGGAGCAACATGAAGGCCTAATTCCTTGAGCTCTTATTTCGGGGCCCTGAAATACTATTTATTTATAAAATTTGTATGTCCAATTACATGCATCTCTGAACGACTTACAAAATAAATAAACTGACCATCCACACTGATTGCAAATAAAATACAACAATAAAATTCAATATTAAAGCTTATTAAAATATTGATTAAATAAAAAAGTCTTAACCTGGTGCCAAAAAACATATAATGATGGTGCCAGGCAGACCTCTCTGGGAAGCGCATTCCATAGTCAGGGCGCCACCACAGAGAAGGCCCTCCTCCGGGTACTCTGTCTCCTTTCACAAAGGGGTCCCAGAGGAGGGCTTCTGTTGCCGATCTCAGGAGGCGGGAGGGCAAATAGGGAAAAAGGCATTCCTTAAGGTATCCTGGTCCCAAGCCGTTTAGGGCTTTATAGGTAATAACCAGCACCTTGAATTGAGCCCGAACTTCGATGGAAAGCCAATGGAGCTGATAGAGGACTGAGGTTATATGAGAATAATGCCCAATCTCCGAAAGCATCCTGGTAGCTCTATTTTGAACCATCTGAAGTATCCAGACTGTCTTCAAGGGCAGCCCCACGTAAAGCACATTACAGAAATCCAACTGGGAAGTAACCAATGTGTGTTGCTAGGCAATCCTCCTCCAGGTAGGGACACAGCTGATGGATTAGCCGAAGCTGAAGGAAAGTGCTCCTCGCCACTGCTGTCACTTGGGCTTCCAAGGACAGCTCTGGGTCAAGAACACTCCCAAGCTGTGGACCTTGTCCTTTAGAGGGAGTGCAACCCCGTCCAGGGCAAGGCCCAAGCCACCTACCCAGGAGCTCAAAATTTCAGCAACAGACTAACATCAGGCCAGTTCATTTGTCCCTAGTAAGCATGGGGGTGTCCCAAAAGAAAAACACCTGGCAGCTTCCATATATGCAGCAGAGCAATCCTGTTTCTGTGAACATTTATGGTACCCAAACACTATACATGTGCTTTAATCTGAATCATTGCTGGTAAGATAATCTCCCCATTTCTTCTAAGTCCAATGCATGTCTATATTGCACCTCTGCAAAAGATCCCAATATTTATTTGTTTATTTAGAATTTTTGTATGCCGTCCCATCGCTTATAGCCTCGGGACTGCTCACATAAATAAATATAATGTAAATACAATTAAAACCCAGAAACACCCTGGCTGCACAATTAAAACCTATAAATATTATCTAACATTATTGAAATATTTTTTAAATAAAAAGGTCTTAGGCTGGCACCAAAAGAAGTAACGACAGTGCCAGGCGGACCTCTCTGAGGAGGTCCGTGTCATTTGAGCACACATATATGGATGCAACTTTGTGCCCATGTATGATGCACCACCTGCATCCCTATGAATAAGAACATATAGTAACAAGGCAACTGTTCATAAAAACTGGCAAAATCTCGGTTTAAAAATGTATTATTCCTGGAAATCTGCTGGGTGGGGCATCTGACCCTCTAAGCCTAACCAGTTGAATCTAATTCCTCTGTTATACGCAGTACATGTACCGGCCTAGAACAAAATACATTTTAACTGTGAAAGCAGCTAGCTGCTGAAATTGTTTAAATTATCTCTGAGTCTGTCTGTATTTTATTTTTTTAAACTTTCTTTCTTTTTTCCTTGCCGTTTGTTTGTTTGTTTGTTTGGGAAATGCTTCAAAAAATCTCAAATCTGACATGGTATTAAATACTTTTTCTCAAAACTAAAAACTACACTGTGCCTATTAGCCTCTGAATAGAACACTATGCCATAACTGAAATAACACTTCAGATCACTCCTCTTCCCTTGCTCTGCTACACTATTAACTCCAGAATACAATCAAAAGGACTAGGAAGATTCACCTAATACAAGAAGACTAAAGAATATAGTCATGCCGCTTGACTGCTCCTCTTGTTGAGCTTGAACCCCAGTTTGCACTGGAAGGATAGGCTTGGCAGGTGTAGGAAGCACAAGCTTTGTGGTGAGGGCCAGAGTGGTATGAAGGGTGACATTGAACACTTCCTGGGTAGCATTTGTGAACCTGTAAGAGAATACAAACTTGGATCAGCCTAAGCAAAAATTGGACACCCCTCCCCCCCAAAAAAGCAAACTCAGGAGAACAGAACTTTGAGGGAATATGAAAGAAACACCTACTAATTTTTAATCTGTCTTAAGGTGGTCATCCCTAATTACAGGACCACATGTAAGTATTTTAATTTCAAGGCCTTTCAGAAGAATATCCCACCAGGTAGTTGACTCTTAGGAAAATTGTGAGTAGACTACATGAACAAGTATACCATGACACTTTTCTTCAGAGTACTGGAGCTCAACCCAATTTTTCCCTGGGCTCACACTCTATGAGGAATTACTTCCCCACAACAGACAGGTATGTGCAAGAGGTCTACAAGTTCCCAAGCCAGAAGAATCATGGAGTTCATTAGAAAACTAATTCCTTTGGGAGGGATTGAGGCTTATGTATTGCACTGATATCCTTTGTGAACAGAGATGCAGTAATACAATTCCAAACTGTATTTTATACCCTGACAGTCAGACACAGCTGCTTCAAAGGCATGTATCTTATGGGTGACTCAGCCTGCTTAAATAGATAACACTACCCGTCTCCCTAGGGGAGTACTGTTTCACAGGGAACCATCTTTCCCACTGCCCTTTGCCACACAGACCAGTGTGTGCAGCTTATTATTAATTGAAGTGCTTGCATGTTTATCATGGCATGACATTCACTGAACATTTCATCTCGGAAATCACCAGCTGGTTTTTCTCTGATAACCACCATTGCTAAATCTCTCACTGCAAGCCAGTTTGCTGACTCCACCTGTTTAGTTACTTTTTGTCTTTTTTTAAATCAAGCCGCCGTTGGTAGAAAACGTATGGCGAAAGGACATTAATCTGGTCCTCACCCCGATAGTGCACATGCAACAGTCTACACTGAATACAAGATTAGGAAGTGTTGTGTTTCAGCTCAATTAGGAGACCCCATCTGAGAAGGAAGCATGGGACCCTGCAGAAAACCCTAGCAAAGCACAGGGTTCTGAAGAGCACAGAATCTTGAATTACCTTGAATTACCTCAAGGGGCTCTTGCCGGAAGCTCTTGAAAACAACCCCTCCCCCCAACACACACACATATCCTCCCTGTCTTTCCCCCTTCACCCAATCCCCACCAGAAGGAATCCAAAGCCAACTGAGGAATGCCAAGTGGCTTCTTCAACATGCGTCTACTCAGGAGAAGGAAAAAGCCAAAAAGAGACCAGGTGTACCACAGATAATCAGCAGATAATCAAGCACAGGAGGAGCTGTCAATACAGATACAAACTTCTCAGTGCCTGTTGGCATGAAGGTTCTTTTCAGGCAGCCCGAGGAGTAAGCCCTTGTGAGCCTTTGTCTGGTTCTGACTGCTCTGGCTGTAATGTTCTCTTTGGCAGTCATGTACTTCTACTGTAGATCTCGCATCAATTCCTGCTACATTCTTGATCGCCAGTATGCTTGGAGCCCCATTATGAGAAGCTGCCCTGTCGTACAGAACTGCTATCTCCAATATAGTGCCTGATATGTCCACAGACATTCTCCTAACACCTGCCACCTCCCTGCCCTACCTATTTTTAACCTCATCAAGATGTCTGTGGACATCTTCAGTGCTATCTATTTCACTTCAAAAGGCTAGCATTTCTGGAGCTCAGGTCTTGCTTTCACCTTGTGCTTGGGCAAGTTACTTTTATTTTAGTCATACCAATTACTTTCTGGGGAATTAGAGTCATGTGACTGCCCACACACACACCACAGCAGACATTTTATGAAAGGACAAGCCTTCTTGAGAGCACCACAACATTCACAAAGTTCCTACCAACCCAAAGTGTTTGGGGACAGCAGCTATACATTGTGTTCCTTTAGTTCAGTATATGGGCATCAGGGGACCTCTCCAGAGTATCAGGGAAAGCATCAGTAACCCATCACTTATCATCTGATCCTGTTAATGACAGATGACTTGGAACTTCTGAATACAAACACTATCCTGGGCCTATGTCTGGAATGTGAAAGATTCACTGGCTAAAAGGCTGTTTATGATTGATACAAACACTGTGTGATGAAACCACTATGCTGTCAAAGATGCTTTTCGCCTGCACGTATGCTGTAAGAACTTTCCCATGACCCAAGAGTATTTGATAAGAAGCTATATCACAAAGCCAAAGACCTCATGAAATAAGTATTCACAGATGTGTATTCATGGTGCTTCAACTATAAAAGTGACTCATGTTTTACTGCCATTAAAACATGGGCATTCTGCCATATAGTACTGATCCTACAACAATTGTTGAAGGAAGGGCCAAAATAGTGACCTCTAATCACACACTGTGAGGAGCTTTCAGGGGGTATCACACAGTAAACCTAAGAAAAGCCGTGCTGGAAATGACCCAAAGGTCCATCTAGTTCAACATTCTGTTCAAAAAGTGGACAACCAGCTGCCCATGGGAAACCCACAAGCCAGACATGACCTCAACTGCACTTCTACACCCATGGTTTAATTGTGCCCTGTGTGAAGAAGCAATTCCTTTTATCTTTCCTGAATCTCCACCAATTTCATTCATAGAATGATTTCAAGTTCTAGTATTATGAGAGAAAAAGAAAACTGCCTCCTTAACCATATATTATTTTGTACACCTCTACCATGTCTTTCCTCTCTCCTCCTCCTCTCCTTAAGATAAACAATTCCAGTTGTTCTAACCTTTCCTTATAGGAGAGTTGCTTGAACTCCTTGATCGTGTGAATTGCTCATTTCTGCACTTTTCCCACAATGTCCTTTTTTAGGTGTGATTGACCAGAACTTTACATGCTATTCCAACTGTGGTCACACCACAGATCTGAAAAAAGGAGCTATTTTATTTTCTATTCTCTTCCTAATTGTGCCTAACATAGGGCTTGTCTTTTTCACAGCAGCCACATACTGAGTCGACATTTTCATTCAGTGTCAAACACAACCTCAAAATCTCTTTCTTGGTCACTCATCACTAGCTCACATCCCATCAGCTTACACTTGAAGGTCAGAGGTTTTTTGACCCAAAATGTATTACTTCACATTGGCTCACATTAAACTGCATTTGCCATTTTGATGCCCATTATCTCAGTATGGAGCGATCCTTTTGAAGCTCCTCTTAATTCCTTTTTGTTTACTGCCCTAAATACTTTGATGACATTGGCAAACTCGACCACCTCACTGCTCACTAATTCCAGACATTTCATGAGTAATCTGAAAGCATTGGTCCTGACACAGACCCCACTGTTTACACTCTTCCACTGAGAGAACTGACCATTTATTCTTACTCTCTGCTGTTTAAAGACTGCCAAAAGATAAAGGAGGTTTCTAGAGGGACAGAAAAACTCATTCACAAATTAGAGTGGAGTTATAAATTAAGACAAGATTTTTTAAAAGCCAATGCAGTTGCTTGGTCCTGAGGAAGCCTCTACTTTTCCGCAGAGATTAATTGCCTAAGAAGCAGAGCCTGTGGCTGATGACCCTGATAAAATGTTGGAGAATAGCAGGAAAAGGATACCCTGGTTGCTTGAGTCCACATGACATCAAATTTGGATATGAGTCTTCCCTGTGTGATGCAGAAAATTCACCGAGAATGACATGCTGGACAATTTGCAGCAGAAAGCTGGCAAGGATAATGGGAATAGGTGTGTGCACTCCGACTGAATGATGATAACAGGATGAAAGGCATGAGATGGAGTTACAGAGCTGAGGCTGTATGACACTGCCTTGGGAATAAATTAATTGGGCTTGTACTGCACAACTTATAACACACTTCTAGTTTTCTGGTGAGGAATGGACAACACTGTAGACCCTTCCTTCAAGCCTCTCCAAAATATTTAGGATACTTTGGCTACCTTCACAAAAGCAACATCTAGACTTGATTAGACCATTTGAAGCCTTGCCACAGGTGATTAAGTCAGCTTGACCAAGTTGGTAAGAATGTTGCAGTCTTGAATGAGACAGTAGATATTCTGCTTTACTGAGGGAAGAGTTTGGGACAAATTAGAAGGGGGACGGGGACTAGTCACATTTGAAGAAGACAGAAACACCACATGGAAATCTGAGGTGCTTTCAAAGAGGCAGTATAGAGGGGAAAATAGCATGGTTTGGTGAGGGAAGTGGATTTCAGCAGATGCTTCTTCCCTTCTCCTCACCAAATGACCCTCAGTTTTTGAGTGCAGTCAGCTGTAGCCCTCAGAAAGCACACAGCATGCATGTTCGTAGCCAGTTCTTGCCATGGATGAGGCAGGTGAATGGGCAGCAAAGATGCAAGAGGCAGCTGTCGTATTTGCATGTTACGATGCAGTTAGGCATTCAAGGCATGCAGATGCAGCAGAGCAGGAATATCCAGCACATAGCCGCACATGGAAAACTAGAATGGCACCACATGTTGCTGCATGATGCCAAAGGAACTCATCTTTGGGGTGTTCCAGCTAGGATAAAAAGGGTATCTCAACATTAGCAAATGCATGTGGAGATCAGCAATAAGAAAAGGAAACTCAACCCTCTTTACTTTCCTTACTGCTACTTGCTTAAGGTTCATGTATGTTATTGAGCTCCATTGTCTTCAAGCCAATAACCAGTTCTCACTGAAGAAGTGGGGAAGCATTCCCCTATCTATCTAATGTTCTAATTATTTGGAGAAGCAGCCTTGCTTAGATGGAGGAAGCATACAGATGCCACATCCTTTCCCATCTAAGACATCTCCAAAGCACTTAGAAGGCCCTTGCTGAAGCTGAGGAGGAAGATGCAGTAAGTTAGTTCCCTTCTGGAAAGTCAATCAGTGTGGTGTAGTGCTTCGAGTGTTGGACTAGGATTTGGGCTATCTGTCCCCATGCAGCCATGAACTTACTGGATAACTTTGGGGCTAGTCCCTAATCCTCAGACTAACCAACCTCACAGGTTGTTGTGAGGATAAAATGGAAAGGAAGAGGATCATATAACACACCTTGGATACCCTGCAAGAGGAAAGGGTGGAGCATAAATATAACAACAATACAAGAACTCCAGGCATGTGCTGATCAATTTGAGGGCTGTAGCTGACTGCAATCAGAAGTGCAGAAATGTTTAGTGTATTGGGGATAGGGAGAAGATAGCATACACACACACAAACCCACTTCCTCACCGAACAGTCTCAGTTTTAGCATGCTATTATTGGATGAGAATCAGTTGGTACAGCTCAAGGATGTGGACAAGGTACTTGGGCAAGTTTGTGCAACCACCTCTGCACTGGATTCTTGTCCCTGGAAGCCAGGAAGAAAAGAACCACTAGCTGGGCCAAGGAGGTGATGAATTCCTCCTTGAGAGAGGAAATGGTCCTATGCTGCTTAAAGAGGCTGTGGTGAGACCACGTCTGAAAAAGTTCTCCCTTGAAGCAGAAAATCTGAATAACTTTAGGCCAGTAGCAAACATCCCCTATTGGAAAAGGTTCTAGATAGGGTGGTTGCCAATCAGCTCCAAGCACTCTTGGATGAGACTGATTATCTAGATCCATTTCAGCCGGGTTCAGCCCTGCTTTTGGCACACACACAGCCTTGATTGCCCTGTATGATGACTTATGCTGGGAGAGAGACGGGGTACCCTGTTGATCCTACTGGACCTCTCAGAGGCTTTCAGTACCATCAACCATGGTATCCCTTTGGAGTGGCTGTCTGAGTTGGGATTGAGGGGCACTGCTCTGCAGTGGTTCCACTCCTATTTGGATGGTAGGCTCCAGAAGGTAGTCCTTAGGGGATACTGTTCTGCTCCAATACAAGGTTCCTTGGGGTTCCCCATGTTATTTAACATCTACATGACACTGCAGAGTGAGGTAATCTGGAATTTCAGAGTGTGTTGCTCTAAGTAACATACAGCTGTTTCTCCTTTTCCTCTTCAGTAGCTGAGACTGTGGGTGTGCTAAACTGGTGTCTGGCTGCAACCGTGGACAAGATGAGGGCTAACAAACTGAAGCTCAGTCTAGACCAGACTGCTGGTGGGTGGCTCTTCTGACCAGATAGAGGGAATCCAACTTGTTCTAAATGGGGCTGCACTCCCCTTGAAGGAGCAGGTTTGTGTTTGGGGGTGCTCCTTGAACAATTTCTATCACTTCAGGACTTTCTCAGTGGTGTCCCCCCCACCCCATCTATAGAATAACCTCCCGACAGCAGTCTGGCTGGCACCACATCTTTTCAGCACAGGGTTACGATGACCCTCTTTTCTGAGGCTTTAAAAAACTTACTTGGTCATCCGGGGGTTTGAGAGGGATCACCAAGTGTTTCACAGAATCATTCTTGTCTATTTCTGTTATATTTTCAAGCTGTTATAAACTTTTTCTAATTTTGATATTTTACGGGCTGTGTAGACCACCTAGACAGCTTCTACTGTGAGACAGTATAGAAATGAAATAAATGTGTGGAGGCCTGAGCTGCACATTTGCACTTGCAATGAGATGGTTGTAGGTAATGTTGTCCTCTCATTCTGGATTTACCCTGTCTGTTTTTTTCAAATAGTTTCCTTGGGAAGCCTTACAAAGAGCCCAAGCCGTTTGTTTAACAAGGGGCTGTTATCGAGATGATTTGCATTGAACACAAGTTTGGAGGATACGACAAAAAAGCCTAAATAAATCCATGCACCAGGGAAACCACTAAGGGAGGCCTTATGTGCCAGCAGTGAAGTGGCACTGACGGGTTAATTTCTAGAACATCCTTCCCCAGCAAGTGCCCTCCAGGTTCCTTAAATTCAACTCCCATCAGTACCAGGCAACATGACACATGCTCAGCGATGAGGGAAGCTGTAGTTCATTAACTTGACCTGAAAGTCTTTGGGTTGGCTGTGGTGACACAGGGGTGTTCGTTCACCTGCGCCACTTGCAAGTACCTAGCCCTCTTCCTTGCACACCTGTCCGAGGTCGGCCAACGAGAACATAAACCCTTGCCCTATCACCTTTTCCCATTACACGTCAGAGATCTCGGGCAAGGTGCCTGAAACCAACCACGCCTATTACCCCATGCCTCCATCAACCTAGGTCAGCCCAGATGTGTTAGGACTGCAATTCCCATCATCCCCAGCCAGGCCATGCTGAGGAAGGCTGACCTATCTCGACCTACCGATGGGGGATCAACCATCGCCTCCCCCCTTCCAGTCCATCAGGGAAACCCCGCCCCGCCTTCCCCGGCTTCTCAAACGGAAGCCACTCACTCCGTTTGCGCCATTTTCTCTCCTTCTTCTCTCAGGTCTTAACCGAAAGAAAGCAATATTCCTCGCCCCGCCACCCGCCCTGAAACCATAGAGCGCCGGAGCGCCAAACGGTCCTAGCAGCACACTTCCGGGTTGTCCCTGCGACACTCTGGCCAGCGTCTGCGTGACGCAGCTATCTCTACGGGCGAAGCCAGGGCGAGGCGGGGTGGGGGTGGCAGCGATCGTAAGCGCGCTCGCGCGTGCTCTCGCTTGGCGCTGGCGTGTTTGACGCCTGACGTCACGCCCGAGGCTTCCGGCACCGAGCGGGACGCGCCCTTTCTTGCGGGGGGGGGGGCGAGTTTTCCGGGTTGGTGGGAAAGGAGGCGGGGTGGGAGAGTTTCCGAGCAACGGCGTGCCTGCCTTTGCGCAACGGCACCATGCGGAAACGCCGAACGAGGCGCTCCGGTCTCCTGCCGCAGCTGCTGCTGCGCGGAAGAGGGGTGCATGATTTTCAAGGCGCAGGCTGACCCGCTTCATAAGAGCATCCATGCTGCAGCAGTCCGAGCCGCGTTCTGTTCACACAACCAGCTGAGTAGGATATGCCCCGAGTAGAGCGTGAGTGCAAGTGCACCTTCTCACCTGTATTCCCAATACCTGGTGCACATAAGCATACTGCCTCTGATACTGCAGGTAGCATAGAGCCAGCAGGACTAATGGCCACTGATGGCCTTGTGCAGGAATTTGTCCATTCTCCGTTTAAAGCTATGCAAATCGCTGTCCGTCACCGCCTGATGGGAAAGTGAATCCCATAGTACTATGTTAGTACTTCCTTTTATCCTAAATCTTTCTCTAATCATCTTTGTGAGATGTGTCTGAATTCTGGTGCTACCAAAGAGGGAGAAATAGCCACTTTTTGATGACCGTGTATAATTCTATACACTGTCATTTTTTAGAAATACCAGATGTTGTAATCTTTCAATACTGGGAAAGTTCACTAGGAATAAGCCTTGAAGGCTGAATTTGCATCAGTCACTGAGAGATCGGAAGTGATCTATGGCAGTGATCTGTTCATTGGAAAACTTCAAGCCCATGGGCAAATTCCACCCTTTCTCCCCCTTTTCGTGATTACTAATCTTTTGGGATTTTGAGGATTTTGTGCAGTTTCTTATGCATTCTAAAAGGCTGAACTAAATCTTCTAAAGTTTAGTTACTAGCAGTAAGAGCTTTAAGCTTAAAATATGCTGCTATTTTTGTTGCTATGCACTACAGAAATAGGCCTGGAAAAGTTTCTCTGAAATTGAATTTAGCCTTCCAGAGAAGTGGTTAATGCGTCATTATGAAAAGTCCCTTGTCATGCAGTTCTATTTCTCCTCATCTTCAACAAGTGAGGCTGTAGATGTGCTAAACTGGTGCCTGGCTGCAACAATGGACTGAATGGCTAACAAACTGAAGCTTAATCCAGACCAGGTTGAGATGCTGTTGGTGTGGGTGGCTTTTCTGACCAGATGGAGGAAATTCAAACTATTCTTCCCTTGAAGTAGCAGGTTTGTAACTTGGGGCTGCTTCTTGAACCATTTTTGTCACTTGACGCCCAATGACTTCAATGGCTCAGCTGCACCTCTATCTGGGCAGAGATAGTGTGCTCTCAGTAATCAATGCTCTGTCATCTCTAAATTAGTTTACTACAATACCCTTTACCTGGGGCTGCCCTTGAGGACTGTTCAGAAGCTGCAGCTTGTGCAAAACATGGAATCCAAACTAATAATAGGGACCAGGCTGTCTGATCATATAACACCAATTCTGGGCTGCTTGCACTTGCTGCTGTCAGGGAATGCCGGATTAGCAGCCCACAAGAACGTACACTCAGATCCAAATGGAGACGTCTGTGTTACGAACCTCAGCAATTTTATTGGTAAAAACACCCAGGAAACCCCTCTGCAGAAACAAACCTTCATGAGCAGTGCTTTTGGGTAGAAGTATGCCCACCAACTACAAAATTCCAGAACATATGCAGAGTGTTTTCACTGTGAGAAGTCTGCAGAAGGGACATAACACAATAGTACAGCAAAATAATGGTGATTATAGGACATTGGTCATCAGAAAGGCACATGAATCATTACAGGTCTTGGGTGTGAGCTTGAACATGTAAACGAGTGATTGCCATACTGTTAGTAGAAGAATGGTTGCAGTACAACTTTTCTTGGGAGCTGCATCCTCCAGAAGATTAACTTTTGCAGCTAAATATAGTAGCTGCCTCAGGCGAGCAGTGTAAGGGCCAGGAAGTGGACAGCAGCTGTGACCAGGGTGCTGTTGTGTGAGACAAAGTCCTGCAACAAGCTCCCCACTGAGGTCTGCCTGACACCACCTTATTATCTTTTTGGTGCCATTCAAGACTTTTCTTTACCACAGGGCGTTTGATTAATTGGGGCTTTGTTATAACTGTTTAATCAGGATCAATCAGGTTTTATCTTTCATAATTTGTTGGAATTTTGTGTGTGTTTTAAATGTGGTTTTTTTCAAATTTAAAATTGTTAAAAAATTTATGTTCTTAATGTTCTGTACTGTGCTGCATTGTAAACCACCCAGAGAGCTTCAGCTGTTGGGCTGAATGGAAGTCAACAACAACAGTTCCTAGTCTGCTTGTAAGCACAAAGTAAAAACTAGCTTCAGTTTGGGCTGGCTCAGGTTTTTAGGATTTATAGAGAAACTGCTAATGCTCAAAAATATAGCATTATTTTGCTATATTTTGCAAATTGGAGAGTCTAAGTTACTGTAAGTTTAAAATGCACACACATTTGCAATAACTCAGCCTTTCCAAACCACATCCCTTCACAAATCTTTGTTTGTTGTCCATTCCAATGACCCCTTGATTATTTTACTCTCCACTGCATAAAATATGCCCACTCCCAGGGGGAAAGTTAACATATGTTCCCCTTCAGTGGATGCTAGGGCAGAGCAGGAGCTTAGCCACAACTTTCCTTGCTTTTAAAAGAAATCCCTCTAATCAAGTTGGTTGCAGTAGCAGTTGGACCAACCTACCTAGAGCTACGTATATTAGGAGGCAGGCTAGCGAAGTTGTGAGCTCTTTTGGTGTCAGGCATTCTAGTGGCAAAGTGCCTCAGCCCCAGAGTGCCTCGGTACCAGCATGCAAGTGAGTTTTGTGGTTCTGCAAGTTTGACAACAGGATAAGAAGGCCAGGGCAACGAACTCTGTCATTTCTTACAATAAGTAACTCTTAACTGTAAATTAATAACCGAAAGAAAGTTCTTCACCTTCTCCTAGTGAAAAGCGAAACAAATCTACTATTATTGATTAAGCAACAACAGAAACAACCAAGTTATAAAAGTAGAATACTAGGAGGGGTATGGGGCTATCCAGGTGTATCTCACGGAGTGTCACATGTATGACTGTCTGCTAGCTGGACAGAAACAGAGAAACAGAGAGAGTCAGAAGGGGTCTTCTGGGCCATCTAGTCTGACCCCCGGCTCCAGCTGGCTCTGCTCATGACATGCCTACCATGTGCATGCCCATGATAGGCATGTCATGGGTGAGTTTGAAGCCGAGGCTGCTGACCCGGAGAAGCTAAGAGAGGCAGAGAGGTTGGCCAGTGAGATCCTGAGGGACCAGACAGCCAGGTCCTAATTCCTGGATGACAACTCTCCCGTTGTCATAGAAAATGGGGTCTTGGGGAATGATGGTGTGATTCAGAGGAAGTGCAAAATGTCCCTTAGAAGGGTCGCATTCCTTGGAAGATGAGTATTTATTCTGTTGCACCAAGGATGTTTCTCTGGGACTGGGGGGTTTGTGGTAGTAGGAGATTCAATCATTAGACATGCAGATAGCTTGATTTGTCATGGGCATGTAGAATACATGGTGAATTTCTTGCCTGGGGTGAAGTTTGCAGGTATTACACACTATCTAAATAGCTTTGTAGATGCTGCTGGGATGAAGTCAGCAGGCATAGTCCATGTGATGGCATGGGAAAATGCAGTAGCAGTTCCTGGAAGCTAAATGTAGATTGCTAGGTAGAAGATTAAAATCCATGACCACTGAGATGGCTTTCTCTGAAATGTTACCTGTGCCATGTGCAGGGCCAGCTAGACAAATGCAGGTGGGAAGTCTTGATGCATGGATGAAAGTCATTTATGGAGGAAGCATTCAGATTTGTTAGGCACTGTGGAACATTTTATGACAAGCTGGGCAGGTGCAAAACGGTCAGGTACTATTTGAACCAAAATGGGATCAGACTAGTGGTACAAAACATTTAAAAAGTGGCAGAGCAGCAGAAGGAAGCATTCAGTTTGAGTCAAACTATCAAAAAATTTGATCGCCCAAATGCAGGAGCAGAGGAAATAGGCCATGAGTATTTGAATATGTTGAAATATGATAACCAGTCAAAGAGGACTCATTGCCAAAACAGAATTTGCACATGTGGAGAGATGTTTGAAGAAGGAAATTAAATATTGATGTTTCTGTGCAAACGCTATAAGTCCCTTGGCCAAACAGGAGTGCTGGAGTGCCTGGTTATGTAGTGGGTATTACATTGTTGTTGTTCTGTGTTGTCAAGTCATGTCTGATTTATACTGACCCTATGAATGAAAGCTGTCCAAAAGTTCTGTCCATCCCAACTTAGTTTTTATAAATTAAGGGTTATTTATGGCTTTCTTTATGGAATGAACCCATCTCATATTTGGTCTTCCTTTTCTTCCATCTTTGACTTTCCCTAGCATAATTGGCTTCTCCATGGAGTCTTGACTTCTCATAATGTGCCCAAATTATGACAGCCTCAGTTTCATCATTCTTGCTTCCAGGGAAAGTTCTAACTTTATTTCATCTAGGACCAACTTGTTCATCTTTCTGTTAGGCCAGGATATAGGTCAAGCTCTCCTCCAGCACCATGTTTTGAATGCATCTGGTGGAATGGAGTGAAGCACTAGGCTACGGTCATCTCTGCATAGGAAGGCAATTGGTTCTTTTATTTGGATCCAGATGCAATGAGTACTCCAGTGAATGTAAACAAACTTTTGTAAACAGTTTGTTATCAAAGCTGAATAACATACTACCTTATACTATTAGCTGTAAGTGGCAAAACAAAAAGGATAAAGCATAATATACATTATTGTTAAGTTGAGCT